ATATCGCGATACATATTGATATTGAATTATTGTCCAGCCCTATGCGCAATACTGATCACCTTACAGAATTCACTGTCAAATATACCTGTCATTTAAAGTAATATTTTCACACAATTCAATGCACTTTTCATGTACTTACCTTCTCAATAGTTGTATTACTTTTTCTTAAACCTCTCCTAAGGCAACACATTACAGGCAACCATTTTTCCCCCCAGCACTGATCATTTCTGAGATTTTGCTTCCATAACATGTCTTATTTCAGACTAGTGGAAGTAAAACATCCAAAATACATTTTAAGTGTTAATTTCATTTGGCTACACCTTATCTATTTGTGTCTGTAGATTTCAATTACAATACATAATTTTAAAGCCCGTTTTCTCAAAATGGCATCTCCATTTCAGTAGCACTTACATACGTCAAACTTTCCAGTTTTATTCTGGCTGTTTTAACAGAGGGGTCTGTTTATATACAGTATAATTTGCCTGATTCATAAAACATTTTATTACAGTATTTTCAGAGTGATGAAAAGAGATATCTAAAACCCCTCTCTAAAAACCTTTAACTCTAAAATGTCAACAAAATGAGTTCAGAAACCTGGCTTTATCCAAAGTTTGGATTCGTGTTCTGGAAATGTATGCAAATTTGTGTACATTTAATTAAATAATGCCCAACTTGCATATTCAGAAAACTTGTAATACAAAACAATTGTCTTAATGTACTACAGTACTCATGTACATTTATAAACAGGAAGTATAGTGACATCTATTAGTTAAAACTTTAACATGTGGGGTCTTGCCTTAATACAAGAAGCAAACTAAGAAATACAAGAGACTGTCATGGCAGAGATTGCCAATTAGTTTACCCTAATCTACAAAGGTCAACTGTCAGTTCAGCCATAAGGTTATTTAGGCAAAAATAGTAATTCTGCAAGATGCTCACATTGCAGAAATACATGCCGACCAGGATTATTACAGTATATCATAGTGCATTTAATTGTTACACAATTCTTGTATCATTGACTTCAATACCAGGACCACTCTGTTCTGTTACACACTGACAGGAGTATCATTGCAGTGTCTTTTTGATCACAACTTCTGATTACAGACTAGATGTTAGAGAATTACGGATTTTAAGCAGATTTAATGAGGTAAGGTATTTTAACATTAGACAGTACACTTACACTACTTTATTCAGTATCTCCAAAGGCAATTTGAGACGTTTCTCATGCATAACTTGCTGGTTAAAATGACTCAATTCAAAGTGAATTTAAATTTTGACATTAGATTTTTTTTTTGAACTTGTGCTTGTGTGAAAAGATTTTCAAACTGAATGAAAACACAATATCAGGATTTGAACAAATGAATGACCTGTATTATAAGTGGGACTAGTTTGGAGTTTCAGAAACGAAAACTTACTCCAGTAAATACTCCAAAAGCGAGAAACGCTGTCCACGATGTAGATAAAAGTGCCGAATCAAGTTTTAGCACTACATACTTCAATAGTAGCTCGTTAATTGCTCTTACATAATTGGGCTAATAGTAGCTAGATTACTAAATCTTATAAAACGGGCTTTCTGGCTGTCCTAAAATAGCAACTTTAGTAAATGATGAGTATCACAGTTAACTCACTTAAAGTCAATTATTTTAAATTCTATAAAATGTGGGGAAATAAAATGAACATTAATAAAACCGGTCGGTTAGCACTGCCGTTAAAAGGCGATCTTTTAGACATGAAAAGAGTTAGAAAGCACAAAACGTATTTTACCTTACTCAACCTTTCTTGTGATAACTTCTCACGTGGGAATTACATATTCATATAATTCGTTTTGTTACAAAATCACCAGTACTAGCAATTACTACTGCAAAGTATTCATTTGCGCCATGCTAAGAGAAGAATCTACTTCCGGGGTTCTTCTTCTTCTTCTTCTTTCTTTTACTGGCAACCGCACTTAACAGTGCATTACTGCCATCATCAGGTAGCTTGGATCAGAAACATTTCCTCTATCTCTTAAAGGTGTCATATGATGCGATTTCAAGTTTTCCTTTCTCTTTGGAGTGTTACAAGCTCTTGGTGCATAAAGAAGATCTGTAAAGTTGCAAACACTAAAGTCTCAAAACCAAAGAGATATTCTTTATAAAAGTTAAGAGTTAACCACGCCCCCCTAAAATGGCTCATTCTAACACGCCCCCACATATCTACCTCACTATGTGGGAATATTTGCATAATACCGCCCAAATGTGCACGCAGAGAAAGAAGGCGTGGTTTCAGTAACCGCAGTTAGTGTTGAAGCAGCATGTCAGGGAGACGCTGTGTGTTTCTAGGTGTCAGTAATTAACAATCGGTCCCTATAGATTCTCTTTGCCACCTGGAAAATTCTCAGTCCCTCAAAGTGTATAACGGCCGGGAAGCAAGAAAACACATATTCAATGGTATTCTCAATACTTCAACTTTATTCATAGATACAAAGATATTATATAGGCATATGTCGAGGGGAGTTTCAACCCTTTAACCAATGAGGATATAGATGACATACATATAGGATGTTGGCCAAGAATATGTGTTATACAAAATGGCCACATGTACAGGAAATATGGACATAATAGGAATAAACTTGGCGAAGGATGCTGAACTATCTTCATAGTTCATCACAAACCCCATTACCTTAGAGCCCTAGCTATCATGTCCTCATTTGAACATTTGAACCCAGAAAAGCTAATGCATACATGTGCGCATGCGTACCTCGAATATGAGTAAGAGATATTAAAACATAATACAAGAGAGAGAGAGAACAGATGGAGGAGGGGGGAATCAAGAGAAAACAACAGTGCGCTGTACAGGGAGGGCGAGT